ACGTTTCACGACTACTTCTATCTGTAGGAAGAACAAGCACAATCTGCATGCTGAAAAAGGGCTTTTTTGCTCTTGGACGATTTCGGCTATAAATATCTGGTCATTTATTTTGGGCGAAATATTTGGAAGTCTGCGAATTTTTCATTGGAATTTACCTTTTACCCGAGGCCTTCCACGGCATGATAAGAATATAAACATTTGCAGGAAAATATATTTTTTAGCCAGGCAAACTTTGCTCTTATATATTTAATAAATTAGAAATTTCGTGAATGGAACGCTGCAGAAACAGTTAAATTAAACGGTACGCTAAACAAATGTTGTTAGATTTGAAGAAGTCGTTTTAGTTCTACCATAAATTTATTATTGAATTAATAAAATCGTTAGACAAAAATCATTTACTTTTGCTTGCATTAGTTACATTTGGACACATTTGGTCCCATCGGATTTCGGCCTAAAATCTAGAAAGCAAAATCCGTTACTTTACACTAAGATAGTATATTAAAGTTTCTAATTTGTCATTCACTTGTGATCGCATATAATTGCGCATGTCGCATACTGTGTTCCCTCGATTAGTCAACGTAGGATAGACTCGCAATAGCCCATCAATTATGATAGTCGAACAATCACTAAAATGACACGCTTCATGATGTCATCTAGTATCCTTGCTTTATAAAATGCTAAGATTGTTCAGTTATTAAAATCCTAGTATAACTTTTACCATACTGTTTTCTGATTTATTCATGCACATATAATGTCAAAGTCACATTTCTTTTGTAAATTTTTAAGCAATTAACGAAAAAAAATTGCATGTTACACAACAAAAAAATTGTATTTTTATTCACAAGTACTTTACCAAGATAAGAATAAACTTTGTGCAAAGGTACCTAATTAGGAATGAATACTATATACATAGGTATATACAAAGGTGGCAAAATCCGCCGGTATATCGCAGGGTTATATTTGTCTTCTCTGCGCCGTATTTTGCGATGCATTCTTCAATCGTTGCTCCCGGAAAAGCGATACCCAGAGTATGTTCAATTTGTTTTCTATACTTCAGGCTGATGCGCGCATTCCTAAACCACCAAAGCCCCCAGAAAAGCCATTGATGCCGTATATGCGATACAGTAGAAAGGTAGTCATTGCTTTAAAACTTCAGTTCTTAGGTCTGGGAGAAAGTAAAGAACGAAAATCCGCAGTTAAAATTATGGGAAGTTGGTCGTATTATTGGGCAAATGTGGCGCGAATTGCCTGATGAGGAGAAAAACGTTTACATTGAAGAATACGAGGCTGAGAAGCAGCGTTATAACGAAACACTTCGCCAGTATCACAGTTCTCCTGCTTACCAAGCGTGGGTTGTCGCCAAAGAACGAGGTGTGTTATCAGGCTGTCCACAGCAATAATACGGACTCTTGACCTAATCAGCGATTTTTATTGTAGCGGAGAAAGTTATTGAAGAAGAAGAGCGGAGAAGTGCTGCTCGCGCACGCGAAAAGCATGAACCACCTGTTGATTTGCGTGAATCTTACATTCTGGAGGATAACGAGGAGGATCCCGATGAACAGTTCACCGTGAAGCATGTTGCCGCAGCACGATTTCAGCGCAATCATCGTCTCATGCACGAAATTCTTAGCGATGCAAAATTGCCTGATCCCGGACAGTTAATTAACGAGACTCGTATCCAAACTTTGCAAATGCAAGTGAAGCAGTTGAAAAGCCATAAAAAGAACCTGTGCAGTGAAATTGAAAATTGTGAACTACGGCACCAGGCCAAAATGCGTCGAATACAAGACGAATCCGCAGCTTTTTACGCAGACTACCGAAAGTTAATAACTCAAACCCCTCATATTTCAGAGTCCCAGTTTGCTGATATGATCATCAAAGCAAAACACGATTTGGACCGTGAGGAAGAAAAGAAACGTGAGCGTCAGGCCGCAGAAAATGAAGCCCGCAAACAGCGTGCTCAACAGCGGGAGGCTGAGATCGCGGAGGCGGAAAGACGTCGTCAAGCTCAAATTTTGCAGCACCAGCAACAGTTGCAGTCGATTTCGCCAGCCACTCATACCCCAACTACCGTATGTTTTATATTTGGCTAACGTTGCCAGTTTTTTGTAATATGAAATTGATTGTTATTATTTTTTTCCAGCAAGCTCCTGCTGCAGACGACCTTTCTCAACCCCCCTCACAACATCCTAGTTACGCACAAGCACAGCAACAACCTCCATATGGTCGGAAACCCTACCCTTGTTCCCTGCCGAGTTCACAGGCTTATCCTCCCCCACCTCAATATGCTTCATCGACTCCGCAACCTCCACCAACATCTGTCGAAAATTTGATCGAGTCAGAAAGGAATAATAGCGCACTCGTTGAAGAATCGATCAAAAAGGATGTCTCAGCTTCTGATCCGGGTGTTGAAACTGATGGTCTCGGTTGCAAACTACTGCACGAACACCAACAAATGCAGCAAAGTACACCAAATATAATAGCCAGTTCTCAACCTCCTCCACCTAATTACTCAATGCCACCAGCACAACCTCCAGCTCAACAAGCGCCGCCACCTCCAGACTACCACTACCAACAGCAGCAGCAGCAGCAGCAGCAACAACAACAGCAACCACTTCCACAACCTCCGCTCCCTCAAGGGCGATGTCCTCCGGGTTATTACCCACAGGGTAGTAGACCCCCCTATCCGAGTTATCCCAATCCGCAACAGCAGCCGGCTCCCCCACCACCTCCAAGTTACCCGACCTCACAGCCACAACAGATGTATTCATGGCAAGGACAATATCAACAGCAGCAGCAGCCTGGATACCCTGGCGCTGGTGGTGCCATGATGCAGGCCCAGAGATATCCTTCACCTCATGGAGCTTACCAGCGTCCTCCTTACTCAGAAGCGCAGGCTCCACCTGCGCCTCCTCCATATCAGCAGCAGCCCTCGGCCATGCATCACCCTCACCAACAGGGATACTGGCAACCACCTCAGCAACAGTCACAGCCTGAAATTCTGCAACAACAACAGCCTCCGGGGCATTATCCGGTCTCGACCGCTCCGACGGCTGCTGATCCACAAATGGGAATGCTAACTCAGAACCAACCCCCTCCACCACAGCAATCTGTTGCGACATCTGCTGGGTTTTACGCAGGTATTTTCAAGCTTTTACGGTGTCTATGTGTTGCCTGCTGACTTTACCTTCATTCTATTTTACTACATGTAACGAAATCGGAGTCCTGTCTAGACGTAGCAGGAAGGACTATTGTACCGTTGCTGTGTGCGTTCTTGATTACATTTGTCTTTGATTTTACAAACACGTTAGTGAAAGAACTTTATTTGACGGCATGCAAATGTGGTCTAATAAACGTAGCAACCTTTTTTCCTTATCTTTGCTCGGTTTTATGCTGGACCGATGCCTCGCTTCACCAATATGTTCACGTAATCCGTCATCTCGGGGCATAGGTATGCCGCTGCCCATGTGTGGTAGCATTTGACTAGAATCATCCTTTGTGCTCTCATTCTTCTCTGTGAACTTCCAAGTGTTCTGTTCCTACCCTTTGATTTACATTGGTTTTTTTCGGAGGTAATACATTTTAAGCAAGGGTTAATTTTTTTACTCTTGATGGGGTGACCGGATTTCATTTTCTCAGTTCAATGAATGCGACTACTTCTTCGTCTTAGGTTATGGTGGGGCGCCACCCCCATCCTACGGTGTCCCGCCCACACAGGGTGGAGTCTACTTTAACGGCCCTGCACCTTCACAGCAACAAATGCCTGTTGGAGGAGGCTACGGGCATCAGTCTTATATACAGCAGCAGCAACATCAACACTGGTCCCAACAGTACCCACCAGGGAGCTACCCGCCTCAAGCTCCTCAAAGACCTCCGATGTCACAACAGCCCCCTTCGCAGGCGTCTCATTCGCATCCGATGGCGGCAGCATCGGCGACTGGCGGTGTGTCATCGCCTGCGGATCAGGCAGCAATGCAAAGGCCTTCTCCGAACCCCCAGCATCCTTCTGCCGTCCCGACTCCACCCGCTCCAGTTAATAATTAACTCGGCCATTTGCGTTTTTAACTCGACTTTATTGTGTATGTCAGCGTCTGTGCATCTCATTTAATGAACCCGGCATTTATATATTAACTTTGTTCGTAATAACTGTTTACATCCGTCGATAGTTGGTTCTTTGCATAATACAAGCCGATGGCTCATATTTAGTTTGATGGGGTCTTTCTATGTGTTTATTTACAAGCTTCATGATGTATTTTGAGAACGGCGGTACCTTATTACTGTTGTCTTTGCATGTGATGCGCACACATGAGCCCTGTGTCGTTTGCCATCCGTAAATTGGAGCTAAAAACCTCGACTTAATGCACAGACTTTTCTCGGTGAACTCAAACGAAAAAAACAGCAGCAGGGACTCAAGTTGTTTCGGGAAAAGTGAATGAATTCGTGAGTTGCCGACGCCACTGTAACAAATTAGATGCAAATGGCCCATGCTACCGAGTTAGTGCCAAATAACTGCAAATAACTTTGCAGCTAGAGGATCCTCACCACTTGCATCGGTTTAATGTGAACAAACACGACAGCATCGTGGAGGATGCTATTTCAAACGCCCATTACACGGCTACTAGAAGTTTGAATCAGGCGCGCAGAACCCTTCCCGTCTAGTGGATTACAAATCACGTCTTTGCTAAGTAGCGTGGTTCGGTGTGAGTTTAGTTAGCTGGCAGAATAAAGTTTCCATGTTTGGTAAAATGATATTATTCGACAAGCATGTTAAAAGAAGCAAAATCACAAGTGCCTTAGATGTTCTAAATTGAGTGGTCACATTTACGAATCGATTGGTACTTTCCACTCAGTGATTTTCATGTATCCACAATAACAGTTGCAGTTGGGGACAGGACACACGGGTCTACTTTGGTCATGTCCCTTTCGCATACACCAAGCCGATATGTGTTCCATGTGTCCCCCGTGGCTGCAGCGTGGGCAGGCCAGAATAATGCCACGCACAGTGACGTTGCACACCACACAGCAGACAAGTGAGCGCTGTCCCTGCAGTCCACAGCGTACGTGTGACGCCTTCGTGGGAGGTGGCGCTGCGATGTTCGACGCCTCGGCGTGGATGGCTAAGGCGTCAAAAAGAGTAGGCTGAGGAGCGGGGGGCTGTGCTAGAAGCCGGTCCAAAGGAGGCGAAAAAATTGGCTTTTGCTGGTCGGTCGAATCAGAGAGGCTTTCGTAGTAATTTGGCCGAGAACGGGCGTGAAGCCAGGAAAGAACTTTGTGCCACTGCATGGAGAGTTTCGCGCGAGGCATGATCAGGTCCCACGCGGAAAGAAGGCTTGCGTACACGTTAAGAAAATGCGTGTACTGAAGCACGTGTGCAAAGGACAAGAGCCTACAAATAAACATAAATACAGTAATATTGTGCTCCCAAACGACTGTTTTCCTTTAAATTACATTTCGAATGGGTCCTATGCTCAATTAATAAAAGCTTTTAGATAGAGCCACATTGGTTAAAATGGGAGAAATCATGTCTTGATTTATTGTTTGGGAGAACTATGGTGTTATGAGAAGCAATGATCAATGGCTTCAAAAATGGGTTGCAATAGGAAGTGTACGGAAGAGTCACAATGTGAGTTCACAAGTCACGAAAAATTTGACATAAAGAAGATTACTGGGGAATGGCAAGTTAGGTAAGAGGTCCGCCTACCAGGCGTCACAATTGTAGGCAACGTCGACGAGGGAGGGGTCTCCAGTTGCTCCACCGACATCCATTAACACCTGGTCTTGGAAACACCGATTTAGAAGAACAACGTTAGAGGCATGGGGGTTTTCAACAGACGTAATGTCGGAACAGTGGGGGTTCACTGGGAGGCACTGAGGCGCCTCTGAAAAACCAGTCGTGGCTTTGTCGGTCGACGACGAGGGGTCAACCGAGCAGCTGCTTGATCGCGCTCGTTTGTGTGAGGGTGCTGCCAATCCATCGTCGCACACTGCTCGGTAAATGGGGCTTCGATCACCTAAGGAGGTTTACCAAGTCTTAGCATAGACAAGTGGGTGGGCAAACTTTTTGAAATGTCAGCTTTCCCTTTTTAAATCACTAAAGCCTGAATAAATAAAACACGAATTAAACGCTTCCAGGTTGAGTAGGCAAGTAATTTCACAAATGTATCCAGTTACAGAAGGTAGGTGTGAATTTATGGCCAGATGCTTCGCCACGTTACACAATATTCTAGGGCTACTTTTCACGCATAATTAATTATTATGGAATAATAACTTAATAATATTCAGGGTGATGAAGAGTTTTGCAACAGTATAACAAGTTGTAGAAATACGTATAAAAATGACTTGCCTCTGCAACCTGCTGTTGGTTGTTGGGCTAGAACTTCTGCTGCGGTTGTTACAAAGCGTTTTGACGGATGCTTCTTTGAGGAAGACACTAAATGAGGTTGCTAAAATAACAACATATCATACATTACTTGTATGATTATGGAGTTAAGTATAGTGGCCAGGCACACAGATGCTATGGCGACTCAAATGAAGTTAGCAGTGCGATTCCAGTCAGTTCTACAGCCTCGAGATAGAATAATGACAGAATTAATTATACTTCAATATTAAGAAGGAAAAGTTCCTATATAGGGACAAACGCCTCTCATCGTCTTTAATGACATGAAAAAAGCATTTAAATTTTCATTACTGAATATGCCAAATATCGAGTTTTCGGAAGTAGACCTAACACACATCCAAATGCACGAAAACAGCGAGGTCACTGATAGGAATAGAAAGACTTTGCAACTATGTAGTGGCATTAATTATGTACATTCGGCTTTCTACATTAGACAAATCAAATAGCCATCGATTAGACTTTCAGGTAAATACTATCATATGTGAGACTAAGCGTATAGGCTCACAAATTTCACCCTTGACCCGTCTTCGGATTAACTCGGTATATTTATTCGAATGATCCAGCAAAGGTGATAAAGAGATTTTGCAGAGAGACCCGAGTTGGAATTGAAAGACCTGATTCCTCACAGTGCAGACGGCAAACCGACTTAGCGTCTGGCTACCAAGCTCCACTGACTAATAAGACACCCTACCTAAGTTTACTTCGTGGTTAGTCACACAAGATGGTTGCAAGCTACAAATTTTGGGTCAATTCTATTTGTCGATGTGAAACGCACCTCAGTGGGTTTATGTAATTATCCAAGTTGAACTAATGTATGTCTGTATAACTCATTAACAACAGTGCTAGCAACCCATGGTGATTTCCGGAAAATCCAGAAGGCATTTGTTACGCGATACTGACTTTCGCGTAGATCTCGGAAACCTTGAATAATGAATAGACGTGTAGTGGCGATAATCCTGAGCTTTTTACGCACTTGAAAACATTTCGGCGTTTAGATTTTAATCCATTCCCAGAGCTGGGTAGATAACCAAACAGTTCATCAACCCAAATTACAATCCAGAAGCGTGACACCTGGGCCATAACAGCCATGGGTAAGTTCAAAACTGGACACAATAGTAGTTCTCGTCTTGCAGAAGCGTTGCAATCATTTAGGAATTAAGGGTACCTCGACATGCGTCCTGAACTGAAGTTCTGCGGCTTCAAGAAGAGAACTATCGGGTGGCGCCACAGTTGACTTTGAGCGTCCAGAATACACACTTTTTAATTCCTCACTAGTGCTGAGTAAAGGCACATGTTGGTAGGAACGTCTAACTGGGCTCTTCTGGTTTTCAGGATTGTGATGATAAGCACGATGAGGTTTATCCACAACTGAAAACGAAGGCGCAGGGAAAATAAGGAGAGACGGAGGTGCAGACTGCAGGTCTATGGCGGCCATAACGAAACCCATCAAGATCAAACTCTGAACATCTCCAAGGGCGAGAAAGTGAGACACCCTGAAAGATCAAACGCAAAGACTACTCAGAATTTCACGAAGTTGTTTAATGCATATTGAAAGTTGCGGTAATGAAGCAGAATCGCAATATACAAAGTTGCAAGGTATTCACTTACGGGTGACACATGTGTTTACGCACAACACAGACTTAAAATCAATTTCCTGAGAGAAAGATCATTAATTTAATGAATATAAAAATGACGGAAAAATGACAAATCAATTCAATCTATAGCGGTATGGACAATAGAAGCATGAAAGGAGAAATTTTGTCCAACGCTCTCTGAACCAAGTCTGCAAATAAGCATCCGCCACTAAACCCATAGCATCACTGAAAAGAGTTCAAATAATCACTTCACAGGCATTAGGTTTAATTAAGCATGCGGGATAAACACGTTTTCAGGCCAGGATGGCGTACAGTACCCACGATAACCACTAAATAAATACGGCAATCTAGTCTACTCATTCCGCAACATAATGGTGATACATGAGGCAGCACTGGAGCTATCGTACCGACTGCGTGAAGCTGGATCGACGCATAAGTTAAGAACTCTTCAGGAGAGATTATCAGCGCTTTTTAAGAAATGACGAAGAATTGACCTAATTTTTCCTGGAAAATTTTTGGATTTTTAGGGTGCTATCGTAGGTCTAAACGGTATACGGGCGGTTTACACCATGGTAATCGACATTGGCACGACGCAATATGACTTCAGCAGAACAGCACTTATCATAGCAATTGATAAATTGAACTCCATGACTTCATGGTAAAACAATGTTAAAACTACGAAGTACTGGTAATGAATTTTTAGAACATTTACCAATTCAAAATTTACTATCAAACCATACATCTAGATGACACGTTTTTTGCGCAGAATGAAATTAACGAAACACTTAACAGCACAAGGACAGTACATAAAAAAACTGACCAAACATTGAAAAAAGATCGGCCCATTGACTGGCTGGCGTAAGGAGGAAGCATTCCAGGAAAGGGCGGTTGTCTCAGTTTCATACCAGCTAATGACGCGACCATGCTCCAGAACTGAAGCACAAATGAAAGCTAACGATTATCAAGCAAAAAGAAGAATAACTTCGATAAGCTCTACTACTGAATGGCTCGCTGGCATACAAATGACAAATTTTATTTAAATCAGTTAAACAGATAAGTTAAAATGAAACTTTATTCAAAAAGCCTGCAGTAGATGTTCATAAAACGCAAAATAAAGTTAAAGATTAAGTATATAACAGAAAAATCCAAATAAACCCACTGCGGGTAGAATCAACCGATGCGATTAAGTTGATTGAATGCGAAACAGGGGATTTAACACTAGGATTAAACCATGAAAAGCACCAAAAACGTGTCGACAACTTGCACTACAACGTGAGATGTTCGCAGGAAGACCGTGAATGCGATTTCTTCCCAAGTCTGACTACTTGATTTGTTTGTCGACTTATGAATGGACCTTCTTCTTTATTCCCTGGGAAGCCCGTACTGCATCATTTGCCCATAAAGACCTAGCATAGCTGGCTGCTAAACAGTTTGATCTTCACCATCAAATTATTCGAAGGAAACTTTGAAACGACTTGCCTGTAAACTGGCAAACGACAAAATGAAGTTGTTAATGATGGTGTCTACAGACTGGCTACGTATTCTCTAGCAAGAAATTACCACTAACAAGTAGTAAGTTTAGGTGGAAAAGTCCATTAATAGCACTGAGATTCAAATACACAACTAGTTTTTAGTTGCCAGCTGAGAGCCAAGCAGCTATGCTGCTTGTTTGCATACATAATTCCAACCCACCTGAACCAAGTCCGATCGTCCAGAGGAGCACACGGCCTCCAAGTTATGTGAACACATGGCCACTGGATCAAAGATGTCAAGTCTAAATGTGTGGTTGAAAAAGAAGGAGGGTGACAAGACATATCAAAATAGATAAAGCACTAACAATTTGTGAACTAGACTAGGCATTAAATCACCAACGATTAAACAAACCGCAAACAGACCGATCAAACACCGCGTCACTACACGAAAGCTTTAACTAGGGAATATTTCAAATTATCGCCTAAATTAGGCCTTTGCAATAATAACAGTTCTATTCCGTGGTAAGGATAAGCTCTGTCACACCAATGTAGTTTTTTAGCGCCAAAACCCCCGACGTTTCGCATATTTCCCCGAGCAATCAATAGTCAACAAGATTGGAGGTGCTATTCGGAACAGACTTAGAATTCAAATTGACGAGAAATTCCACACCCTAACCTCCTGCCGGTTCAACCAAACATGCATTACATTTATGACTAGCCACTGCGTCGCCATACAAGGTAACGTCGCAAATAGAACCGCATTCCAAGGCGTATACTACGATCAGACCAAATATTCAAAAAGGACAATTTTACTTTAATAAAAACGCCTAGGATAGTAGCAACTACGTTACAGCAGCAACATCTTTAGTAGGTTAAGATTTTGTTTACTGTGTACAAGTTTTTTTTTTCAATACACATAAGATCGAAATCGATCGACGTTGTCGAGGGGGTTATGTCGAGGCACTGATCTGATCTAGATTAGACAGATAAAAAGGGGGCTTACCTGCCAATATCCTAATCACGGTAATGAAATGGCTAGTCAGAAATGCAATGCGTTAAGTGAGAACAATTAGATTAACCATCCACAAATGATCACTTTTGCTCTCGTTCACGAAAAGATCTGGAATTGCACTACTACAAAAGCCGATTAGGCCAGTGAATATGTGAAGAAAAGCCTTAGAGAGAGTCATTTACTAATCAAAGTGCGCAGTATAATTCTGCCCGTCTTTGACGGTGTGCTTTGAAAGCTGCTAGACGTCAGCATAAACCAAATACTTTGAATTTAAAACAAATCACCTCAAAACGCAACTGACACTATTAACGTTCATTTTCACGCGCGGTATTTAGTAGAGCGACAGTTGTGCGGTGTGATATTTGTGTAGTGTTAATTGTAAAAACCGAATACCGAGAAAGTCAAGGGTTACTTACGAGTAGTTTCCAGCCAGGTTTTTTGACATTGGAATCAGTGATGACAGATCGCAGACAATTACTCGAGGCGAACCTTGGTAAAACAGCGGTTATTTTGCATAATAATGCTCAAGTCAACAAAAATTACATCGCCTATGTATGGGGCAACATGAACAATTTTCATGGTTAATTAGCCAAATTAGTGGGACCAGAATGTGACTGCCACGAAGCCCTTTTTAGCTAAAACCTACGCCAGACCAAATCTGAGACTGATGGGGAGAGAGTTTCCAGTGTAGGCGGCAGTCGATCATAAAAGGTGTAAAAAACATTCATTTATAAGGTGCGGAAACTAATTAGAGCTTGGTCGGGAGGTAGCGTTGCATTCACAGAAAGCCCCGATCTTGAATAAGGCAAATTCTCACTGATGATAATGACCTGAAATTGTGCCTGGTTTTGTTTTTTTTTATGCTGATTAAGACCAGACGCACTGCAAAAGTGGACTCATGAAACTGCCAAAAACAGAGAACATGTCACGGATTAAAATTGATTCTTTGTTTTATTTCATACTATAAAAACCAAAAATACATTCACGCCGGCCCATTAGAAAGTCTGACAAGCAGCCAGGAAATATCAAGTACAAGACTTCCAACTATTCAATGCAGTCGGCGCTACGAAATGTGATCAGGCATTCTGCCAAAACATCACAAATGCTGCCTTAAATAGTACCAATTAGGTGATCAAATTATCCCTGTCAAGATTTCTCAAGCTAGAACGAACGTGAAGTAACGCACCGCACACGAGGAAACACACTTGGAAGAAAGGAACATGGACCGTACCAAAGCAGACAGGCGGATCAACGGAGCCTTTTCTGGCCGGCATGAAACGAGTAGCGAAGGAGGCCCTGCGCAGTTGCCGTCGTTGACTCTCAATCCCAACTTGGTCGCTACCTACGATGAATTTTATCTTCCTACTTGAAATGCTGTCTGAAACCTATAAAATATACCAGATGTAAATGTTGAAAATGTTCAAAAAAGGCTTTTGAGAGACATTTAAACCTGGACTTAAGGCACAGGAAAACAAATACTTGGGCCAGGGCAGCTGGGTGTTTGGGTAGCCTTCAGCTCAATCATCATTTCCCACACAGCTATTGACTGATATTTCAAAATTGATCACTTCTATTTGACCCATCAGCAATTCCAATTTTTACTTACCGCGAAAAGTTGCATGAAAACGTTTTGGCTAGTTAAACTTGGCGTTGCAAGACAGCGATAAACTGAAAGTGCTAATATAGAAGTAATGCCTATTAGCATACAGGCTAAACGCAAAATTACTGAGCCCCCAAAAACTGTAGAGTAGTAAAGGCTACGGTGATATCGAAAATGCTTTTTAATGTTAGAAAAGATGACATAAAAATTTTGCCACCATACTAAGTAATGGGAAACGCATGCAGCTTAAATACAGAGACGAGGCGAACATGAGAATACCCTGGGGGAAGCGCACAGCCGAAACTATTGTTTGTTGGGTCGCAGTGTGATAAAGGACATTAGCTTCTAATAGCCAGTTTGCAAGGTGGATTTCTAGCTGAGATCTAATGGTGTTCCTACGGGTATATGCTATACACTTCATTTGAACGTGAAATTTCTTTACATTTATGGACAAAGACATACAATCTATATTACAAAATGATTTTAAGGCCTTTAAAAAGTTTGATTCATCGGACTGCAATTCAGACGAAGCAACATGTAAATTCCCTGAGGGTATCAAGACCGGATTTGGCATTTTTCTACAACAATTGGTTTACAATTCTAGACATTAGTTGTGGTAATATGATGACAAAGATCGAACTTCCAAACTGCATGTCAATGTCTTCAAAAGCTAGGGTTTAAGAAGTATGACAGCAAACACTAGCCCCCTCACCTTCCTGGATAATGTCGGTGTTTTGCCGGAAAAATGACGCTGTCGGATAGGGTTTCCAGCAGAATCGAACGACTTCAAGGAGGCACCAGAGACATTTAGCGAGGATTCCTGCACCGCAGCAGCATGATCCGTATTTCGTGCTACAAGGATCTCAGCACTCCTGGACCTAGGTAAAGGGCATTGGATGTTGCAGTGTTGGTCACAAAATCTCGAAGGCCTGATCTGTGTCTTTGCCAGCTGATCGTCCGCACTTTTGCGAAAAAGGTGCTCCTTGCCTTCCGTCAGCTGAAGGTATTCGTGAAAGGAGCGAGGCATGCGTGTAAGTCCCAGAGGAACGGGAGTGGATGCTTGAACAATCTCAATAAGGGACTGATGAAGGCCAAATGTGACCATCAATCCAGAAGGAGAGATGCTGACACCCGAGGTACGCGGAAGAGGGACAAAAACATCGCGTGAAGGTGGATAATCTGCACCGACAGTTCTTTGGACATCGGGATGATCTTGTGTAACACTGACGTTAGGATCGGATGATGCCAGTGAATCTTCATTTTTCTCAATCTTTTCCAAATATAAAAACAAATAACTAGTGTGAGTTAACCTTGATTAAAACCAACTCAGCTAAAAAACGATAACAGCCACTTATAAAACATTTTTATCCGAATTATCAAATACCAAAGAGCCTGAGGAATGGGCATAAACCATGTGCGATCCGCACCGTCTTTTCGCTGGCGACACTCGGAAACCTGGGTTGCAATGGGTAGCGAGAAGAAAGGATGGTACGAGAATGTTCAGAAATAGGAAAATTCGACTAAACAGAATATTGATCTAGTCTAGAACATTATAGTGGGTTCTGGAGAAAAGAATAGGCAAACTACCGGTATATTCGCTTGTCGGAACTAATAACTTGCTGTAGATATTTCAGATCGAAAACTTTAACACCCTATAAAATTTGTAGGTACCACGTTTAGAACTAGTGACTTACACGTTCATAAGGAAAAAGGGGAAAGGTTGGGTAGTTGAGGTGCTTAAAGACCTTTCGAATGCATGGCTCCAAACAACCCCGGGAGGTAGACACCGTGCTTTCCGCGGTGTGCCGGATGTCCTGCAATGCACAAAATGTAGCAGGTAGTAATTCGCGATATCCCAAACTCGATATTTGAATTAAATTAACCAGGTTTTAACCCAAGTAATAATAAAATTCTCCTTTAACCAATGAGTTTTCAACGTTTTTCCTCCGCTAAAGTTGTGCTGCTTAACCTTCCACGAATCTTTGATTTATTTAAGAAATCACGACTTTACCTCTAGTTTCACAGGTTTAAACAGATTAAAATCGCAAAATCTGGCTAGTTTTCATGCAAAATAATTAAGAAGTTTTGTTCCCAAGTGGGATACAAGGGAATATTGAACCACTGGAAGGGACGGAGATTACGCTATTGCAGAATAACACGAAGAATCTGTTTTCTTTAGTTAGGTTTGTCAGGTAAGATGTACTCAGCTTTGTCCAATAACTTTTGTACTCCAATTGAGGTGAAGATATATGCAGTAACTGTGATGGACATTCTTGAGGCAAGGTCAAACAATTGTTGGCGAAAATAGTTCCATAAATAAATTACCTTAAACACGCACCTTTTGTGGTTAATCAATCACGTTAGATAACAAATAAAAGACAAATTAGGAATCCAATTACATCATGAACTTTAGGGCAAGCGTAAAACGGCCACCACTAAGCAGTCTTTAGCAATAATACTTGTCGATAAAGAAGAACTAGGCCATTGAGTGCGTGCATGCGACCCGAAAAGTGCAACAGAAACATAACTGCCGGTTATTGAGGTAGCCAGTGAGCGAAATCAGATCGATTCAAACCTCACGAATGCAAAGGTCCAAAATTCATCGATAATTTTAAAAAAAGTATATGTAATGAGTACGTGATAATTGGAAATCAATTATTTTTGCGCTTTTAAGAAATATTAACAAGCAAACTGCAGGACAAACAAATAATCCTAGGTGATTTAGCCTACTAGGAATCTATTTAATTAGAAAATAGGGGAGATGGTTAGGTTATACGTACTTCAAGTATATGTCCAAGCACCGACTCGTGGATTACTGGATAAGAAGCACTGAACTCGAAGCTAGGAGGACAGTTAGGCGAGGGGTAAGCTGGCGAGAAGTGAGTCGTCAAGATCACAGTTCCGGCATTCGGCAAGGCACCAAAGTCCCTCTCCGGACCTTCCACCACGTCATTTGATGGCTTAGCGTTTGGGGAACCTGTTGTGGTCGTAGACTGGAAAAGCGCATCTAGGTCAGCAAGCGGAAGGGAGTCAGAACGGTGCCTCGAAACAGTTCCTTCGCCAGCCGAGTCAAATCCACAGATGGTACGGTGATGATAGTGATCGCGGCGGCAATAATAAAGAACGATCTTTACTGTACAATCAGGTCCGTCAAGGTCGACCTTCTCTACTTTGTACTATAAGGAAACATTATCAGAGATCTGATTTAAAAACAGAAGGGACGGCAAAGTTAAATTCAACATGCTGCAATAGCAAGACAGTTAAGCTGAAGCCGAGGCTCGAATCGCTCCACAACTGCACAGTTCTGAAGTTATCTTAAAAGACTTTCCCACGCATTCAATAGTGAGATACAAAGAAAAAAGCACGAGTAAACAGTTGAAATGAAAGCAAACGTAGGGGAAACAACCCACCTGGCCCATTGCGGAACTCAAGAGAGACAGTTCCTGCGTAACAAACTGAAAGGTGGAGGAGTTGGCTTTGGTTTGCTGGGTTCCTGTGGAAATAAAAACACCAGTTGTGGCGTTAATTAGTTGTGATAAGATGCAATGACAGCCTTTAAGGCGAACAGATAACGTACTTAACTCACCTGAGGAAGTAGTTTTGGTGGGACTATCAGTGGCGGAAGCAGTCTAAAAGGCATGAGATGTATTTAACTAACAGAACAAAACAATCCTTTTATTAAGCTAGCGCTCAACAATTGTTACCAGACACACCAAAAAGCAAATTGGACAACAAAATTGTGATAAAAAATCCACTCGTACGAGGCATATTGAATGCAAGAGGTAGAGGTCCTACCACAAGAGCTGCCGAGGCTGGCGAGATGGAATTAGGCCCTTTCGAAGCTTGGTCGGAAGACAAATGATGCGGTGGGCTCTGCGTTGATTTTTGACTATCGTCAGCATGCAAAAAGGCAGCTGGCAAGGTGTGGACTCGTAAATGATGATCCCTTGACCATGAAATGATGTTCTCTGGTTTAGCTGTAAGGTAAAGAATGGGACACTATTGAAATCTACAATCGCAAAACTAAAACTAAGTTACACATCATATTACACATCTCATGTTTATTGTAGGAGTGAGGACAGAGAAGAAGAGAGATGCTACATGAGATAACTAAGTAAAGAATAGAACCCGAGGACCTACGTAAACTCCGGGAGTTCTCCTTTGGTTCAAATTCGAAGGTCGTTCCGTGGAATGCGGGAAATTCGGCTCTGCACCATCCGAAACCGAGAACACAACTATCTTCGCTAATCGGTGACCCTGACTGGTACCCCAATGCCACTTCGTCGTCTTTGTTCAAGGAAGGGATCAAGCGCATGGGGGTCAGAGTGTCAGCCCGCCAGAGGATGAGACCGGAGTTGGTCCAACGACTTCGCTGGGGTAGACTCACAATGCCCGTGCCTTTTGGCTGTCACCAACAAAAAACAATGAAAGAACGGTTTAGTAGGATGGGTTACACGTTACTGACTTGAGTGGGCCTTATTAACTTGATCAGCCTCTGTGCCAAGGCTTCGAGTCCGTCATAAAACACAATCAAGAAATAAATTAACCAATAACATTGCAGGCTCGGAACTGGCAATTTGCAGCTTAACAATAAGCACGAAAACAAATTAAAGGGCAAAAGTCGATGCATTTACACGGGGTTTAGAGCAAACTGGACATTACAATTGATCCATCAAATTCCAAGGGACACTTTTCAATTGCATTATTTGTAGGTATCATTTCCAATTTCTTGGATCACAAATGACGGAAATGACACCGACGAAATTAAGGCACAAGTCACATGTTTAAACCGGAAAAGTGCGGATCAAAAAGTCTTTACAAATTGTGGTTCATCCACGCAAAATTTCAAATTTCAGTTAACACCGCTGGTGGGAGAGGCTTAGGCAGTGTCAATGAAATGTTACTCATAGTTAAGCACGGTGTGAGCGCCATAATTCGACAGAAAAGGTTTAAAATGAGTCAATAACGTGACAAACCGTCAAATAAACACGTTAAAAACGCACCCACGAGCAGTTGCCACAATTTTAAATTGTGAGAAGTTGCCTGATTTTAACGAGATGCAAACTCTGCCTTCAAGTGAGCTCGCGTTTAGGAGGCTACAAAATTACTTTAAGGAGCAGTTCGGACGCATACCGTATAGCGTAGACGAAACATGGGCACTTTCTTGTAGTTGGCAGCAAGCAATGGATTGTCAAAATCATCGACATTCCAGACGCGCAGACTACCGTCTTTTGTTGAGACCGCGAATTCACCAGCACGAGCAGGGGACCAGGCCATCGAGAGCACCTTCGACGACTGCATTGAGAGGTGCCTCTCGGGTGTACTGGCCTACAAGGCATCAGGGTTTGGCATAAAACCATTTGACGAGTAATAGATCAGCAAATTCCACTCAAGCGACGTAAGCTACAGCTTAGAGCAGAACAGCTTTCAGGATGCAACTTTCTGTCATTCTAACACGGTGAATGACAGGAAATGTAACTCATATTTGGAATGGCATTAGCAATTTGATATGTGTAATCTCACTACCAGCCAACAAATTCGCCTCCAAAAGTAATTGAAGGTCCATTAACTGCTAAGTAGTCTCACACTCCTGCTGAGAAGAACAGCTGTCATTACACACAAGGAACAGTGCAAAAAACTGACAGTTCAGATTTTTGGTAAAAATTTAAATGAGGACCTCATCCGCCTTCATTAACTAGGAATGATGTAAACTATTTCAGCAAATTTGTAACTCCACGTATACAATAACACCATTTTATTGGTCTCACATCTAACACAATCTGAACTAACGTTGCACAAGACCGGAATTAACTTAAAAGCTATAAAACTCATTCTCACCCAATGGAACGTCACAAAGTCGAGAATATTTGAATTCGCAAAAACACCATCAAAAATTAAGGAAAGTCGTCAGATTACATAATGCTTTGAGCACATGAGCAACTCCGAACATGCTCCTTCAGTGTCAGCCTTAAATCCTAACGCTAAGACCAGTGGGTTCCGTTCTCTTGGTCAGTAAGCTCAATTTAGAAGTGGAGATCGGTGTTTACGTGTTTGCGAGAGCCCACCCACTTTCCTGGGGGACATTAGACAGGTCTGGAATGAAACGCACCCGAAGATCCCAAAATTGAACTGAGAAGTCACTGCCTGTAGCAAACCTGTGCTCATGGAATGGATTCCATTGAATCAAATTTGTGGACGCTGAAACATTCAAGAATGAGAAAAAGTGCTGATGGTAGAAACAAGAAGTAGCGAAGCAAAGGATAACCTACAAAATAACTCAATATTTTTCACCAATTTGGTGGAAGTTCTTAGGTCCCATACGGAGATTGAGCGGAATTGCTCACTGGAAGCCGTAGCCAACACATTCGGTTGAGTGGGACACCAATCTAATCCGTTAATTGGTCGGACATAACCTTGAAGGGTTGTCAGCAAGGCGAAGAGGTTCCCATTCGATGACCACGAGTAAATCTCGCAAATATTCTTCCTCTGAAGAGATAGGGAGGCATTCAATAAAAAAGTATATAGGAGGCTGCTAGTGGTAGAAAGTCAGTGAAAAAAAAACCAAACTAAACTACTTGAAGACAGGGAAGGGTTAGATTTTATTTTCTTCCCTACCAAACCCTACTAAATATAGGTCGCGACATTGAATACAAAGTAAATTAGTAATGAATTACACGATTTGCTAGTGTTTCCATGACCGATCCAGGGGTTGGGAGTAAGACAGATGACGCTAAATTCGCTTTCCACTTACCGAGTTTCACGCGTCTTACCTAATCAACCTTGCCAAACACAATTAATGTGCACGATGTGACGCAGTAAAGCATCCTGGGACACTGATTTCGGATACAAATAATTAAAGTACAGTTTTATGAACAACTTACGACGATAGCAACACGGGACGCGTCGCTTGGGTGGCACTGCAAAAAAGATGGTTCGGAGGCATTGACCTCGTCAAAGAAGGCCCTGTCGCGGGGGGCTTCGAGATCAACAACGACCAGCTGTTTTGAACTAAACGGGAAAATTAAACCAATGTGATGGCAGGACGATTGGTTACACGAATACGGCACGCAAAAATTAAAAGTGCCTCTTAGGTATGGTGCGTTTACCAAATAATTGCAGTGCAGACGTCTGCAAAATGAAGATGGCATTAATCAATGAAAGAATCGTCATTAGGGCTAAAGAGCAGTCTATCTAGGTGGAAGAGCTTTTTGCGTGCATAATGCGCTAGTGTTTTTGACTGGAACAAGTCGTAGGTAAATCATTCCTCTGTGACTTGGATAACCTTATCAGCTTCCGGGGCTGATTAGTGCCTAACCATCTTGGTCACCACCCCACAAATTCAATAAGCTCTTTACGTACAAGCTGTAATCGAGAATTTGCCATGTCAGAAGGAGCCAAATCATTTTTGAGGTTCGTTTATAAGGAGACAAAGATGTGGAGTTTTCGTTTTGAAACAATGATGGGTTTTAACCTAATCGAAGACACATACCCGGCGAGAAAAGCGTAGCGCCCGCTGCAGTCGACGTCCAACACTGAGACCTGTTAAAAAGACAAGCGGATGGACCACTGTGCACAAAAACAGACCAAAATGGAAGAAAAAACGTACCTGCAAATCTGGATGGGAAAATTCCGCAAGTAACTGGCTCGTCTACAAATGGTGACAATACCGAGTAACACAAAATATGAAAGTTTTATTTGCACTGGTTTGTGCGCAAGAACACATAATCCCACCGAATTTCCTCACTTCTGTTATAGTCACTTTTCCCTTATGCAATAATACTCTATTTGTAGTGTAGATACACCATGCACTAGGCATAATTCTAAAATGTTAACCCGACCTAAATGACTCATGAAAAATGATACTCATACCAACAGGAAAACCAGTTAAGCAACTCAGAAGTACAACGAAAACGTAATAATTTAACCCGCCAACCAATTCAAACATGCCATCGCTGCACATTTCAACATATTCTCATTTAAAAACATCAAATATGAATTCGGGTTTATCTATGTGGCTCAAAAACAGTAAAGAACCCTTCGATCTAGTGCCCATTACGGATGGTCTTCAAACGATGCTAATAATTCCAGCAATCTTATAAGCCAATATTTTTTCCAAAGATGCCCAAACCGCATGGAGAACTTTATTATTCTGAGGATAATGGATGCCTGCTTATAGTTTAGCTATGTCCACTTGGGCAAGCCCACGGCGACTTTCCTAAATCCCATTACAATGTTATGTATAATTATTCACCTATATAAGCCTCAAGAGCAGTGAATGATTATGGTTTTGTGATATTTCGTCGATGATTCATACGCAGGATAATCGGAGCGATCAACTCACCAAGCTGGCGGTTGTGAGCGGTCTTAGTGAAAATACTTTCATGTGCTCAAATACTTCTCGACATAGTGAAAATGAAATCCCAAAAATCTAGCTAGCCCAAACAATCATCTACGCGATGCGGAACCACTTTGTTGACCTTTTCAGAGTTACCGATAATACTGGTAGGGTTGATGATGGTTTCTCAAGACGAACTGTGTTGTGGTTCCAAGGAAAATGAGTTTCACAATTAATAGAGCATTGTTTGCATGAGTCCTATCTCTAGCACCCCGATAGCAGCAAATTATATTGGTATCCGGAAGGATACCTAGAACCGCTTACCGGAATTTTTTTTAAGACAAATTACCTTAACATCCAATCTGAAGATCAAAAAAAACTAGCGACTTTTGCGGTTCTATTAATTCAATAAATAAAACGTGCGACCAGTGACTATAACTATTATTAGTGCTGCATTAGAAGCACAGAAGAGGGGCTTGGGAGAATATTTAAGCACAAGATTGGGTGACTGTTTTACGATTTCTTTCGTTACGCTAATACCTTAAGCAGTGTATGGCTTTAGAGCAGTTCATTCAAAGTCTACAGACAGACAATCGGAAGCAAGCACGTAGGAGAATACGCAGCAACTTTAGGACTTTAAAAACCGCTTCTTTAATACAGTAAACAGACACGTATATGCAGGAGGGGGGGTATACATAGAGAAGGCACAACCTTACAGTGTGTAGGTCACTGTACACAAAGAAAGGAGATCTGAGGGGCTGAACAATTTGATATGTACAGAGGAGAATTGACAATCACGAAGTAGCACTTGTTGCAGGCATTTCAAGAGTCACCGCGCCGCAACTGTCGGTCATTGAGGCGGTATTTTCGGCGTTTGGGGTGGAGGGCTGCGTGGCAGTCGCTGCGACCACGGCAGCACCTGAAGTAAGCTTTCGGCGCTTATAAGTCCGAGACGAACCGCCGGCGCGATAAAGAGATGCGCGAGCTATCCGGCTGGCCTGTCTACTTCGGGATGCGGCGGCAGAAGCCCCACTGCTTCGTAGCGACCGGGATGGAATGGAGGCGCGAAAGTCACCCCTCACCCGACGCCTACGACGTCTCTTTCGTGTGAGGGGAGGTGTAGAAGGAACCGAATTATCCGCGAGAGAAGTAATCACGTTCAGACTTGTTGCAGTAGAGGGAGAAGTAGATATGGTCGTCGCGGCTGATAGCACAGCAGCCTCACCAACGGGTTCCAAGTCCTCGTCGACGTTTTCTGCTCCGCCCTCCTTGCTGGCCGGTGCAGTGTGGGTTAAGGAAACTGAGGCTTCTACTGCGGAATAATTACCGCCAGCACATGTAGGAGACGGGAACTGGTTGCTGCGAGGGAGATCAGGATGAGAGGCCCCACTCACGCTAACCCCTAACGGGGTACTAGTGAAGCCCTGATAATGGCAAAAACGCAATTGACAGTGAAACTTCGCGTAATGCAGCTTTAGATTCGACTACATGGCGGGTAATTTGTAAGCAACTTCGTTTTGTCAGAGAAATTGAAGAAAAGTCAGTAAGTTGACGAAATGTTACTACAACTAGAATTGGAATTCGCCTGCATTGACCTCTGGTGTGTATTTATGTTCATCCCTATTTCGACTGATCAGTGAGGACAACAGGAATTCGGCTTAAAATCCTCTAATAAAACGTTTAGCCAATGACCCGATATCACTTTACTTGTAAAACTAAGAACAGATATGCATTTCAAACAATTCCCTGGAAATAAGAGGGTAAAATTCAATTCTTAGGTCAACGAATCCCCAAAACGAAAATAAAGTAGTGCCTTACATCTGCGATTAAAGAAAAACAGCGTTTTTCATCATAATAAATGCAAAATATCTAGTAGGCACTCCAGAAAAAATATCTCAAGTGGCCACAAAAGAGAAAGCAGCATTTTAAAACGAAACGAAATAAATAAGAGACTATATATGTGGCCAATTAATAACTGATTTTCACTGAGGACATTCAATGTGCTACTTAAAGCAAAAAATCTGAATTGGCCGTAGGAGAAATGACTGCAGCTTCCTCACGGACAATCTCAAAATACTAAAGCAATCAGTTTTTAAAAATGCTACATGTCTTAGTAAGTTTTGACAGCGCTTACTGTAAGGCTAAAATCATGACCAATATAGTTAACACAATTCTTGAAGTACGATTCTCAAGACGAAGAATATACTAAGCAAATAGCAAAGCCAAAAAAAGTGGATAGTTTCAAAACGAAAATGAGCAGTGACTAGTTCTACATTAGAAACAATTGAAAATGGGTAAAGCTGTTACTTGAGTAAAAGTCTCCAAAAGGTCACAGTTAGTGATGAGTTCTAGAGAATAAATCCAATGCTACTTTACAAACGACGATGGATTAAAAACAGTGTCTCTAAAATGGATACACGACTACCGGAAACCAAGCATGTTTGCAACCAAAAATCAAATAAGGGCGGCGGTCGACAGGTTGAAATTTATGCTTAATGCAGTCAAACTATCGAACCCAAATTCAAGCGCTTAGAAAGTACAGAAACGTGGAATTTGAATTGCCCCGCCAATAACGTAGGCCCATATACAAAAGAACTGCCTAGACGCACTAGAATTGAAGAGGAATTAGAAGGAGCGGGGCTGTCGGCCAAGGAGGATGACTGTTTACAACCACCCCCTGTTGTTGAAGGCGAGGAGACTTTAGGATGGTACTCTGTGATCACCACACTGAAACCGTTGGCAAATATTTCAAATAGTAGAGGACTCGAACGATCGACATTAACCAAAGACCTAAAAATAAAGCAAAAGGAGGGTCTTATACACAATTTTCTTGGCCTTCAGCGTTTTCTAACTCATTTTCATACTCTACCATCGGAGACAAAGTCAATCATTCCAAGACACACAGACGCATTTGTCCTTTGGTCATTTTGGTAGCCACTCGTTTCAACCTTTCAACTTGATTATTCTTGAATCACCAAGATTACGACGATTGACTAGGTTATTTTAACGCTACCTTAGATCAAAAAATAAATCAAACCTGATTTCTGAGTGGTTTTAGATGGGCAGACGAATGCATACTTGCGGAAGGAAACTATGCCTTGACTGTTTGTTAAGGCACTCTTAAAGACCTTGAAAAGGATCACCTTTTCTCATTTAGTAACTTTGGCTTTTCATCAGTCAATTCTAAAGATGTGTCGTACCCCGGACGTAATAATTCACCGTTTTTAGCTGTGTTCCCAACTACTGACGACGAATTGCCAGCTGCCGAATTGGCTGCTGCGTGTCGAGAATGCCGACGGCGCTGAGACCCAACTCCATCTGAGCTAACGATGCCAGATCCAGATTCTTCCTGACGTTCCTTGATAATTGCACGTGCAATCAAACTCTGTTCTTCAACAATTTGACGATTTAATTTCGGTTTGCGTGTCGATGTGCCTTTGCGCGTTTGGCACATTTCACAGCGAAAGGCTTCAGCGGAGTTTTTGTAGGTGCACACGGTGCAGTCCCAAGACTCTTCCTCCACTCCAACCATCAACACAGAAGATGTGCGGAGCTTTCGCTTCCTAAAGGAAAAAAAGATTTTCAAGCGCTTTTTACACCAACAATTTTATAAAAAAGCAAAACACAGAGGCTTATAAGAATCCATTACACTGCAACACAAATTACAAATAATGGGCGTATTAGTGTGGCGGGTTAAATGCAATGGTTCTCCATTCAAAAATAGATAGTCATTAAGGTTTGCCTTTCAAATGAGGATATCTAATCCTATTTAAGGAGTTAAGCTAATACAATTTAACTGTAGTTAATGATTTTTTTTAGAAAAGTATATTACTAGGTATTAACAATTATACGCTTCAGATACATAAAGTTAGATGAAGTCAGTCGATGAAATGGGACACGTGTTTGAGGCTGAACACACTGATGACGAAGAGGTTGAATACAAAATTACAAAAGAACAAAATTGCGTTCTTTATTGTTGTGGTTATTGCAAGCAAATACGTCAGATTCAGCATTTAACACACAGCCTCCTGATTCTCAATTAATTTCCTCAAAATAAACTCATCATCTGAGGTTAATTTAATCTGCAATTTTAAAAGATTTCGCAAATAACAGAAGTACTACAGCTCAAGTAAGATACATACAAAAACAGGTATTTAGCAATCAGTGTGCTTCCGGGGATGTTTAGCATATTTTTGTCACCAGGAGCATATAATCGAACGTTTCTCCATCAAAAACTATTTGCACTTAAATGATTTAAAGCAATGACGAAAACCAAAACCATGGACATATTCCCTGTAACATTCGAAAGTGGCTTTTTATCCTTGTTTTAAACATTCCGTGACACATCTAACATGACCAAACAATTTCAAAGCGTAACTTTATCTTATTTCAGGAAAATTTACATAGTATGACGCATTTAAATGGCTTGTAGTCGGGCTTCTTTGAAAAATCTTACAAATCAAAGGCTATCTTAGCATTGATACAAAAAAAAGGTGAAAAATGAGCAATAAAGTTCTAAAACACATGTAACATCACAAAAACAAAGTAATAAGAAAATTAAAAGAGGAAT